GGGGAGGATGCAGCGGTCGCGGATCTTGGTGAAGCCGTTGTGCTCGAGGACCTTGTTGAACTCCACCTCCCTCACCCCGTACCCCCCGAACGTCTGCTCCGCGCTACGGGCGGCGGCCGGGATGCAGTCGCGGAGGGCGTCGTAGAGGGAGAGGCGACCCTTGCGGGGGATGAAGAGGTGGCTGAGGGAGGCAGGGACGGCTCGGGAGACCTGGAGGGGGGAGGGGACGGGTTAGAGCAGAGGAGGTGACGAAAGGAGAAGGGAGGGGCATACCGCTTGGGCGAAGGCGAGGGCGACGGCCTTGGAGGCGGGGGAGGCAGAGGGCCGAACCATAATAGGATGGGAGGATGGAATGTGCGAGACAAGAAAATTATCGAAGGGTGAAAATGGTCTTGAAAAGGAAACGAAAATAGATATGCGAGGATCGGTCACGTTACGATCGGCATCTTAGCGACTGCATGGCCACCACCCTATCTAGAAAAGCATCCGCAGGGAGTGGGGGGTAGTGCGATTTTGTATGACCGGTCCATCATCTGTATTTGGAACGGGTTCCTCATCCTACATACGCATAGAACAACCATGAGGCAAGGTTGAATGAGCATTCACAGTGACTGTACAGTGTTGCTAGAAACAACAGGACAAACATATTATCTTATGGTTCGGCCCTCTGCCTCCCCCGCCTCCAAGGCCGTCGCCCTCGCCTTCGCCCAAGCGGTATGCCCCTCCCCCTAATCTCATCTCCTCCCTCTTCTCCTCTGCTCTAACCCGTCCCCTCCCCCCTCCAGGTCTCCCGAGCCGTCCCTGCCTCCCTCAGCCACCTCTTCATCCCCCGCAAGGGTCGCCTCTCCATGTACGACGCCCTCCGCGACTGCATCCCGGCCGCCGCCCGTAGCGCGGAGCAGACGTTCGGGGGGTACGGGGTGAGGGAGGTGGAGTTCAACAAGGTCCTCGAGCACAACGGCTTCACCAAGATCCGCGACCGCTGCATCCTCCCCGACGAGGTGGAGGCGACGGACTTCTCGAGGAGCAGCAGCGCGCGCTACTTCTTCTCCAACCGCCGCTGGAGGAACCCCGACGACCCCCACGAGCTCCAGGAGCTCCGGCAGGCCTGGCTCAAGCTCCGCCAGCTCGCGTGCAGGCTCGGGGCGGACGTGAGCCTGGAGGCGCTGGAGCAGTGCTGCCGGGAGAGGTACGGGGCGTGGGCGGAGATGACGGTGAACTGGAGCAAGGCGCCGCGTCGGGTGTACCGGAAGGCGAGGACGGGGAGGAAGGGAGGGAGAGGCGATGGGGAGGAGTGTAGGCAGGGGAAGGCTGGAGTTGCTAGCTTATCTCAGCAGGGTTCGTCACATGTCCACAGTTTATCATCTTCAGCTGGGAAAGAGGTCGAGGAGATAGAGGAGGCAGGACCGTCAGCAGCGGGTGAGAGCATGGTTGGATCATCTACTGGCTTCGCTGGCGATGAGCAGCTTGATGAAACATCCGATAAGGAGGAATTGCTTGATGAATCTTGGGAGCAGAGCTTCGATGATGAAAATGAGGAGGAGGATATCAGTCTCGAGGGAGGAGCGCTTCAGCGGGTGGGAAGAGAAACACCTCAGGGCCTGAACGACTTGGAAAGAGACTGGGGGAGCAGGAGCTGGACCTGAATGACAGGAAGTAGACAGCAATTTGTTTTGAGCAGTGCTTGAGTCTCTTGCTGTTTCATTTGAATCTGGATGTCAGACTCGCTCTTGAGATCAATTTCCTGCACATCCTTCGCTCTTCCTCACTTGTTTGATATCATCATTTCTTGACTGATCGTTTCGGATCATTTCAAACTATCAACTTACGATGTGGTTGTACTGAGTGTTTCAAACTTGCTTTGTATCAAGTTCCACTTTAATTCGAAAGTTATCGAAGACGTTCAATCCTAACAAGATGGACTTGTAGTTGTATGATTTAATAGGGAAACATGCATATTGAAATTGGCTTTTCACGGTACCTTTGCGTAGTTGCCTGTACCAAACAGCAAGATATTCATAAGAAACGTCGAAGTAAGTGACAAGAGGAGAGAGGATACTTTCTGCTCGTCTCCAAGCTCAGCCACCTGGCAAACAAAGGAGGAGCGCTCTTGACATTCTCGTGCTTGGATCAGTACTTGAGCACGTGTATGATGACTATGGGACTCCAAGTCTTTTCTATCCAAGTACAATCCTCGAGGCCTCGGAGTCGGACTCCTCTGACTCGGATGTCCTAGGTCACGTTACCATCGGCATCTCTGATTCCGTCGGTCCGACGAGTAAAACACATTTAAACCTTTCAAGAGACCAGGGGTTCTTATACTGGGTGATTTGTTGGGAAGGGTGGGGTCATCAGTCGGGAAAACAGGCGGGGGATGCAAGGATGTAGTAAACTAGAGGCTTTTTATCTTCTCCCGCCCCCTTTCCTGGAGTAGAAACGCTAACTAAGCCTCCATGGTCCGGCCCTCTGCCTCCCCCGCCTCCAAGGCCGTCGCCCTCGCCTTCGCCCAAGCGGTATGCTCCTCCCCCTCATCTCATCTCCTCCCTCTTTCCTCTGCTCTAACCCGTCCCCTCCCCCCTCCAGGTCTCCCGAGCCGTCCCTGCCTCCCTCAGCCACCTCTTCATCCCCCGCAAGGGCCGCCTCTCCCTCTACGACGCCCTCCGCGACTGCATCCCGGCCGCCGCCCGTAGCGCGGAGCAGACGTTCGGGGGGTACGGGGTGAGGGAGGTGGAGTTCAACAAGGTCCTCGAGCACAACGGCTTCACCAAGATCCGCGACCGCTGCATCCTTCCCGACGATGTCGAGGCGACGGACTTCTCGAGGAGCAGCAGCGCGCGCTACTTCTTCTCCAACCGCCGCTGGAGGAACCCCGACGACCCCCACGAGCTCCAGGAGCTCCGGCAGGCCTGGCTCAAGCTCCGCCAGCTCGCGTGCAGGCTCGGGGCGGACGTGAGCCTGGAGGCGCTGGAGCAGTGCTGCCGGGAGAGGTACGGGGCGTGGGCGGAGATGACGGTGAACTGGGAGCAAGGCGCCGCGTCGGGTGTACCGGAAGGCGAGGACGGGGAGGAAGGGAGGGAGGGGCAAGGGGCAGGAGGGGAGAGGGAAGGAGAGGATGGAGGTGGAGACCGGAGCTGAGGGACCTGCTGGTAGCGGGAGTAGGGAGCCATCATTTTGGTCGTCGGGGGAGGAGGAGAATCGAGAGGCTGGGAGCTTTCTACCTGTTCAGAATGATGTCGCGTCCGTCCAGTCAGAGCCGTGGGAGCTTCACCTGCTTGGCGAGGCGAGGGAGGAGGAGGAGAGCTGGCAGGAGGAGGAGCTTGCGTTTGAAGGGTGGTGGGAGACGCCGGAGGAGGTGACGGGCCTAGGGGAGGCAAGATGGAATGTTGTAGAATAAGCACGGGATCAGTGGAAATGTCAAGATACGTTGAGGAGAAAAGGGGGATGTTATGGTTGAAGGCGAACATGTAAGGCAGATTGTAACGAAGCTATGATTTGACAGTGTGAATTTGATTGAAAGTAAAGGTTGCTTGCTGAAAGTGTGGGACCTCACACCTTTCTTGGACTTGTCTTCAAACATATGAGACATCTGTCTTCACCTTTAGTGTGCCGTCAAGTCAAAAGAAACTTCTGCCTCACTCAAAGCGTGTCTTCACTCAAGGCGTGTCTTCACTCAAAACGTCAACCCTGCCTGGCTTCACTTAGTGCTGACCGATACTGAGGCAGGCCTGGTTTACTCGTCAAAAAAGAAATTTTGAAAAATCATTTGTACTTCACGTCACGTTACCATCGGCATCTCACGACCGGCAAGAAGGGGTGGGTACAAACAGCTTGAAAGGGTGGGTGGTTACCTTGGGGTCGGGGAAAGTTGCACAGAGGGGGAATCGGAAGATCCGGATCCAAGTACCGGTACACTCAATATTGAGTCACAATGAGGGGTAGTCGGTCTATCAACAGGGGAACAGATGATGAAGGAACGGACCCCTTTGCATTCCCCCTCCTCCCCTCTGCCCCTAGCACCAGCTGCTCCTTCTGCTCTTGATCCACAACAGGGTATCCTCCAGCAGCGTCCTCCAACAACACCACGTCCAACCCAATCTCCTCTCCCTCTCCCCTTTGTCAACAGCTCAAAAACATACTCTCCGAAGCCAACATCAATCAAAAGCATATTGTCGCTCCCTTCACTGCAGCATGGTCCGGCCTTCTGCCTCCCCCGCCTCCAAGGCCGTCGCCCTCGCCTTCGCCCAAGCGGTATGCTCCTCCCCCTCCTCTCATCTCCTGCTCAGACCTCACCCCTGCTCTCAGGTCTCCCGAGCCGTCCCTGCCTCCCTCAGCCACCTCTTCATCCCCCGCAAAGGCCGCCTCTCCCTCTACGACGCCCTCCGCGACTGCATCCCGGCCGCCGCCCGTAGCGCGGAGCAGACGTTCGGGGGGTACGGGGTGAGGGAGGTGGAGTTCAACAAGGTCCTCGAGCACAACGGCTTCACCAAGATCCGCGACCGCTGCATCCTCCCCGACGATGTCGAGGCGACGGACTTCTCGAGGAGCAGCAGCGCGCGCTACTTCTTCTCCAACCGCCGCTGGAGGAACCCCGACGACCCCCACGAGCTCCAGGAGCTCCGGCAGGCCTGGCTCAAGCTCCGCCAGCTCGCGTGCAGGCTCGGGGCGGACGTGAGCCTGGAGGCGCTGGAGCAGTGCTGCCGGGAGAGGTACGGGGCGTGGGCGGAGATGACGGTGAACTGGAGCAAGGCGCCGCGTCGGGTGTACCGGAAGGCGAGGACGGGGATGAAGGGAGGGAGAGGCGCGGGAGAGGAGTGCAAGCAGGGGATGGAGGGTACGATGATGAATGCTGCGGGTGTTGCAAGCGAGAGCAGGGCCGAAGAGGCATGGTCGCCTGCAACCTGGTCGTCGGGAGAGGAGGCCGCTGAGTCTCTGGAGGAGGCGGGGGCAGTGCAAGGCATCATGGTCGAGGACAAGAGGTCCGAGGCTAGCTTGTGTGCCCGGCTGTGGGGGAGAGGGAAGGAGAGGATGCAGGAGGAGACCGGGATTGAGGGACCTTATGGCAGTAGGGAGCCATCATTTTGGTCGTCGGGGGAGGAGGAGAATCGAGAGGCTGGGAGCTTTCTACCTGTTCAGAATGATGTCGCGTCCATCCAGTCAGAGCCGTGGGAGCTTCACCTGCTTGGCGAGGCGAGGGAGGAGGAGGAGAGCTGGCAGGAGGAGGAGCTTGCGTTTGAAGGGTGGTGGGAGACGCCGGAGGAGTCGACGGGCCTAGGGAGGGCGGTATGGAGCGGAGGAGAGCGCGGGAGTGCCTGAAGCTGGCAGGTTTTCATTTAACAGAGCTTGGTGGGGTATAGCTTACTTGCTGCTCTGCATTGTTTTACACAATTTAATGAATGATTGATGATTTACGCTTGCATGGTTTGGCGTGTTTGCAACCATCGTCAAGCTAGTAGCAGCAGTAGCAGTAGCACTAGTCAATCACATTTGTTGCCACTGCATCGTTTACTCTTTTTCTACACAGGTTTCCTCTTATCGTCAGGATGCAACGAGGGCAAGTCCCAGGAGACTAGCGTTTGCATGCTAATCTGGTTTGCCTGGTTTACGCAGAGTCAAGGAATGTGTTTGATACTGAACTTACTGTCAACTCATTGTCGGCGGCTTGAAGGTGACCAGTCTTAGTCGGCAGCCAACAGTTAACCAGCTACTGCAGTGAATGAGCTACCTCTCCTTGCTTTCCTCGTGCTACAAGCCCGAGCTCTTGTACTGCACCGATCAATGACCTTTGTCTTGTGCTTCTGCTTCTTCACACCTTACGCTGCTTCTACTGCCCTTTGTGAGAAAGAATGTCGAACTCGAGAAACAACAATACTTCACCAAGTTCAAGAAGTTTTGCAACTCAAGAGAGGTTATTGTAAAAACCCGGATAACCTCTTGAAGACGATGACAAGTTCAGGGGAACGTTTCTCATCAGTGGAGGGAAAGGTAAGAGGACACGTGGAGCGCGGGGTGTGCATTGAGGGTGGACGCAAGGGAGTGAAGGGGAGGAAGTTGCTGTGGACAAAAAAAGCATTGGTGTTGTTGACCGACCGATCTGTGAGTCCAACTTTGAGTGTTGCAAGGTTGTACATCTGAGTGGTTGGAGAGCTACTCGTGTGGTGTGAGAATCTAAGGTGTACTTGGGCTCAGTGTTGCGGGAGATCTTTGGACTGAATAGTATCTGGCCAGTGAGGTGGGGAGTGATTCGATTGCAAAGAGAAAATTTTCTCTTTGTTCTCAGATTATTACGCCTGATTCGGATTCGTGATTCGATTTTTCTGAAGACAACATTTGATTTCGGCGATTTTGTTTTGGATTCTTTGTTTCGAAGCCTGGACAGTCATCCCGAGTTACAAAGTGAAAAATTTCTTTCGGGTTCTGCAAAGTTACAGGGAGAGTTGGATGAACTGTTGCTTCCACTTCAGAATGCCAGTGCTTCAAGATTGGATGTCGCAGAAAAATTCTTGCTGTAAAACGTCTAGCCTCGCGACCGTGAACGATGGTATGCAACGGATCCCAAGTTCACTCTCCTCGTCCTTGTTTGTTCCAAGATGAGCCTGACGTCAAATCTCGCATCACGTGGAGTCCAAGGGACCGATGATGACAAGACGAAAAGCCTTGAGCCGGTTGTTCCACGGTCCTCAGACCTCGCGTGACAACCATCAACAGAGTGACCTGCTGACTCAACATCTCTCAGATCTACTTCAGATGCCGATGGTAACGTGACCACTATCTCAGAAAAGCCGATGGTCACGTGATGATTGACTCAGAAAAGCCGATGGCCACGTGATCAGTCAAAATTGCCCGACAAAGGTCCGCCTCGCACAAACGACGATCGTCTCTTCGATGAGCTTCCAGGCTCCTTCAACCCTCCCAATTCTTCACCGTCCAATCGCCCTCTCTGCCCACCCACCCCAATCCTGCTGACTCAAGTTTCCTCTCCAAGGGACCCCTCTGTATAGCCCTGATGTCTGACAGCCGGACTTCTTCAGTCGATGCCAATGGTAACGTGGACTACATCCCGATCGTAACGTGATCGCCACTCAAGTCTGATCACGTGACCACCGGTACGACAGTCGGTTGGTAACTTGTTGTCCAATGCGTTGCCTATGACCGGCAAGGTTTCCGTCTCTGCTACCTGCTGACTCAACAATGCCGACGGTAACATGATCAGCCGGAGCAAACATCAGGTCCATTATCCCTGCTCTCTTCTGACGTAAGATTTTGTCAGGTCAGGTGGGGGGGGTTGTGTCATCGCTTGCATGTCCCCTCGCGACTGGGGGAGAGAGGAGCGGGTCTGCTTGAAGCCTGCCAACGCCTCAGGGCGGCACAGAAGAGCTTCTGACCGCCTTACACGGAGGTAGACTCCGAGACTACCGGGGGAGACGTAGAGCCTTGATCTTGAGATGCCGATGGTAACGTGACAACCACGACCGCAAGTCTAGTCCGCAAGCTGTCACGTCCCGTGGTAAACTTCATGACGTCTATCGCCTTCTCTCTCGCTCCAGGCACTAGAGCCGCAAGTAGGCGTGCAGATGGCTACGAGATAGGAGCGCTGATCAATACCTCCATGCCGCTTCAAGGCTCACCGCCTCGACCTCCGAGTCTCATCGCTAGTCCGGCACCGTCTGATCGTAAGTCCTCCCCTACCCTTCTCACTGTCATCTCCTCTTCGAGTCGATCATCCTTCCCTACTCTTTGAACTAGCTCTCCGGCCTCCCTCTGCTCTCGTCCAGCTGTACAACCCTCCTCGTCATCTCTCGCCCCCTCTCTCCGACCTCTCGAGCTACAATCAATCCTTGCCACACCTGCACTGACAGCCATTGCAAACGCTCCCTCTACCTGCTGATCCAAACCTCCTCATACAACTTCTCGGTCCCTCCTTTACTCTTGTCGCTCCTTCCCAAGTCACCATCATGGCCAAGAACCCCCATGGTAGCCTGCAATGGGGGGTACACAGGGGAAGGGTAGGATGTGAAGCTTACTAGCAAAGCTCTACTTGACGGCTGGTTATTTCGAGGCTGGCAAAGGGCCTGTCCTGGTCTGGAATTTACTGCACAGCGAGATGAAGACGAGAAGCTCAAGAGAGAAGAGCAAGAGTCATGACCAGGCATGAAGACGAGCAAGAGTCATGACCAGGCACGAAGACGAGCAAGAGTCATGACCAGGCACGAAGACGAGCAAGAGTCATGACGAGGCACGAAGACGAGCAAGAGTCATGACGAGGCACGAAGACGAGCAAGAGTCATGACCAGGCACGAAGACGAGCAAGAGTCATGACCAGGCACGAAGACGAGCAAGAGTCATGACCAGGCACGAAGACGAGCAAGAGTCATGACGAGGCACGAAGACGAGCAAGAGTCATGACCAGGCACGAAGAAGAGCAAGAGTCATGACCAGGCACGAAGACGAGCAAGAGTTATGACCAGGCACGAAGACGAGCAAGAGTCATGACCAGGCACGAAGTAGAGGTCACCTGAGGAGATGAAGATGAGATAGGCAAGACCGATGCGTCAGCAGACGAAAGCATCGGGGCACTCACAAGGGTAGAAGTCCAGAGCTTGATCCAAGACGACTAGAGACGAAGAGCAGACTACAAGAGGACGAGCAAAGAGCAAGATCTCAAGAGACGCAGAGTGGCGGAGGAGACAACGCAGAAAGAGTCAAGTAGACAAAAAGAAGAAGACGAATACAACATAAACGCAACTGTAGAAGACAAGGATGCTTACGTAGCGGACTACCAGACGTCTTTTAGAGACATTGTTGAGACCATTGGAATACATTGCTTGCGTCAGCAACTCGTTTGTCAAGCGCCGTGAGCTGGTCAGCAAGCATCCCGCCTCTCCTTGTGAGATGAGGGCTGCGAGCAGGCTCTCTAGGCATATATGGCTACAAGTTCGGGGCGATGATCGGTACTTGTATGTCGCTGGAAGCCTTCTCCTCTGCCTCAAAGTCTCCGCGCTGGCTTGCCGACGTCTCATCGTCAGCATCGCTACCTGCAGCCATCGCCTCCACTCCCTCTGCCTGCTGATCCAAACCTCCTCTTCCATACCGCCTTTCCCTACCCCACCATCGCGAGCTTGATGGTCACGTGATGGGCACACGCAGGCCACGAGCAGAGGAGCGTCAGGCCCAGGCCTTGTGCTACGCTACACCACGCCTGTAAGGTCGTGCCGAGTCCGCCTCCGAGTGTCCAGCGACGAGCCACAGGCATCGGACAACCTCGTCGTGCTTTCTCAGGCCTCGAGCCACGCTCAAGGCTGGACAGGCTGACGAGCTAGCCTTGTCTGTGGCTGCACTGAGCCGGCTGCTGTGGGGGATCATCCCTCACGTCCTCGAGGTAGGAAGGGAGCGAGCCTCGCGGGTTGCTTTGCCTGCTGGAGCCCGGCGCTTGTCGCGAGCCGGGGCTTGAAGCATGCAAGCAAGCGGGGCAGGCTGCAGAGGGTAGACAGAAGGAGGGGAGAGGGCGTGCACTGGGCGGTACACAAGGGAAGGGTAGGATGTGTGAGGTTTACTTGCAAAGCTCGACAGACTTGCTGTCGACCATACCGCATATGCCTAGTGCACGTGCTAAGCCAAGAGCTTCATGTCCCAGCGGCATGGCAGCACAGCTTGTACATGTTCTCTGACCTGCTCTCCAAAGCTGCTTTGTACAGCTTGATCGATGGGCTGCGGTCAAGCAAGACAGCAGCCAACAGCGCAAGTGCCGATGATGAACCGTGGGCGAAGAAACAACAAGTGCAGAGCATGCCACAAGACGCCATGACAGCGACAAGCAGACTGCAACACCTCTCGACCATCATCCATGACACGACGATACATGTAAAACACAAGACAAGACAAGTCGAGACATGAAGCATCGAGGGCCATACACCGCGACAAGATGCCCAAGCATACGTGCAGGACACTATTCCAGTCTATCTTCCGCAGCAGCGACATACACAAGTCACCAGGAACGGAAGCAGGCAGGCAGGGAAGAAGAGGGGAGCAAGCAACTGGTCCAAGGGAGGGGTATGGTACCCAACCTCGTCCTCCTAGGCGAGGGCAGCTCCGTTGATCTGTCCCCGTCGGTCCCTCTGGTGGTTGTGATCCGATGACAAGCCATGGGGATGAGAGTTTCAAGAGTGAAGCTTTGTCTCAACGAGAAGGTACTAAGGCGAGGGAAAACAGCAAACAAGATGTAGAGAAGCACAGAGACAGGAAAGGCCTATTTGTAATCATCCCACCAAAGACGGGAGGGTGAGACATCAGGTCCCTCTGGACGCATGAGAGCCGCT